ATATATATAATATATAATATAATAATAATATATTATAATATAATAAAATATAATAATAATGATAATAATAAAATAATATAATAATAATTATATATATATATAATATATATACAATAGTGCACAGTGAGTGGAGGTGGTAATAAAATAGTGCTCGATGTAAAATAGCAGAGGTAAAATTTATAGTAAGAATAAATATGTATTTGTTTGGAGTATCATGCCGTGGCAATCGTCCGGCACAAAATTGGGTCTGAGGATTGCGACGTGCATGAAACTCAGAGTTGTTTGAGGAACAAATTTATATTTATTCGTATATATATATATATATATATATATATATATATATATATATATATATATATATGTATGTATGTATACGTATAAAAAAAAGCCCACGAGAATTTGTGTGTCAGAGATATGATAGAAAAAGCCGATAGTTAAATTAAGTTTACGTTCAGTCCGAAGTCTTAATGACCTTCCCTGACACAGATAAATAGACTTAAGTGAATTGATTTTTTACTATAGGTGCGCCACCTGGTAGCATTTGTTTATATACCTATCTCATTCAATTAGTATCTCAATTATCTGTTGATATCTAATTAGATTAAGTTTTATAAATACTCCTATTAGGCGCCTCCCTTAGAGTGATCGTTAGGAGGTTATTGCTGTTACATGCCGGTTGGAGCTGCCCAATTCCCACTTTAACAGCATTTGCGCGGCCATGTGGGTAATGGATTATTTTCCATTCTACAACATTTCCCTACAGATGAAGAGCTGCTAGCCTTTCTCTTCTCTATCGTTATTTTCATGGCTGATGTCCCTACAAATTTAAAATCCTTGTTTCCACAAGTTCAAACCTTTACAGTTTAGTCCCCGTTTATATAGACACACTAGGTCAGCATTCTCATTCTCTCCATATTCCGTTAGTGAGGTGGAAGTTCCAGTCAGACAGCTTCTTCCTTAGAACTGTTGTATTGTCGAACGGAGGGGCTGCTTACCAGATTTCTAAAATCTCAACGTCTTTAAGCCTAGGCTCAAGCGTTTTCTATCCTACATATCCGCATAATAAGCATCTTTTGCTCCATACCCGTGAACACTTACAGCAACATTATTTAGTAATTATCTACCTGGAGTGGCTCTTTGGCCTTGTATTGAGTGAACAACAGTATATAAAAATTTTGTGATTACTTTAGCCGGATTAAGATTATTCTAAACACCTGTTCACAGGTGAAATAATCTTGTTCTCCATTGCACTATAATTGCGACACGCCGTCTACTATTGTCATTTGTGCGCAGAATCCCGCACATGCGCATTTGAACAGCTTCTCCGGAACACTGAAGAATCTCTATTCGCCGCTGTCCTTTTTCAAATATATAGTCGCCGGAAGAAGAGACAATCCGATTCTATATCTATTCGTCCCGCCTTTTTTTGCGGGGGGGGGGAGGATTTCTTGTCATTTCACGTTTTATCGATTTTATATCATGCGAGCGGAAATGACATCATCTCTTTTGATCTGATTGTACATGAAGAATGCTCGGTTCGAGTTTAAATCCGCCATGCTTTTGATGGATATGGAAGCCCTTTACGTAATGTCTACTTGACGCTTTAATACTCAAGATTCAACGAATATATATATATATATATATATATATATATATATATATATATATATAGATAGATAGATAGATAGATATATAATATTATAATAATATACATCATATATATATATATATATATATATATATATATATATATATATATATATATATTTCTAAGAGGATAGAATGCAGGTAGAATCAATGTCAGGACAGAGTAAAATATAATAAAAAGCTCAAACACTAATATTCCATGGTTATAATTTATTACATAGAAATCGTGATTACGATTCAATGTAATAAATTATAACCATGGAATATTGTTTTATTTTTTTATATATATATATATATATATATATATATATATATATATATATATATGTGTATATAAATAAAAAGAAAAGAACAGTAAGATATAAAATCCGGTGTTCTTATAGATATTTTATTTTTTACAAAATAGTGCTCAATGTAAATTTACAGAGCATTAATATTATAAATTAATTGATTTAAAAATATGGTTATTTTCGCTTTAACAAAATAACCATATTTTAAATCAATTAATTATAATATATATATATATATATATATATATATATATATATATATATTTATATAAACAATAAAATCCATATCAGGTGATATGGAGAATAGCCTATTTCGACAGACGAAGATATCGGTTGTCTGTCTTATTAATTATATTTAATCTTACCAAAATATGAACCTAGACCCGGAATTTTTAAAAATATTTCCTTTCCTGAAAGAAATGCTTCTCTCCCAAGTCAGCATACATGACTATTTTTTTTTTAAATTAAAAGAAAACAGTTAAATTAAAAAAAATTATATTATTTAAAATATATAATACATAATTTAAAATTAATATCAAACTAAAATAATAATAAATAATAATTATATTATAAACAAAATAATTCAACTTTTGATTATAAGGCATTAAATTACGTCACTTAGTATCTTCCATAATTTATCTAGACTTTTTCAGTTAACCAGATAAATTAAAATTTATGAAAAAACTAACGACATTTTTACTTATGTTTATAAATACCTGTTGCAGAATAAAATCCTTACATTTGCCTTGATAGAGTCTAACAGGAGACAAAAAAAAAACGTCGGCTAACAAGTTTTTTCTTTGTCTTTAGTGATAGATTGTATATGTTTATATTAAAAACAGATCATAATCATTCCTCCAGCCTCCAGCTACGTGTGTAGTATATGTGGTGTCCCTACGGCCCTCGCCTACAGACATAGCAGCAGTTGTGTATCTTTCGCAAGCTAGCCAGACGGAACCCATCCCTCTCCAGGCTGGTTTGAACTTTCCTTCTAGACTGGTTGCTAACCAAGGCTACAAAGCTGAGAAGAGACGAATTTATATATTTCTCAAAGGGTCTTCGGGCGAAAGTGAATGCAACGAACTCGACTGGAATTCGATCTCTCTCCGATTTTCTCAGGTCCGGTCGCTATCTCTGACACCACTGTGTAAAACGTAAAAAATGGCCTTTTTTAGGATTGCTATTTTGCAAACATTATTTTCCCTGTCAGACTACAGCAGAAGGGGTGGGACAAATAATTACGACTGTCTTCCAAATAAATGCTTCTAGATTCAAATATAAATGAACATGAGTCGATCCTTCAAATCAACCATTCACCCTTGCATGGAGTATTGCTGCCAAATATGGTCTTTAGCCCCTTCTGTTTGTCTCAAGGTTCTTGATAAGATCCAGAGACGGATATGCAATGTAACTGGCCCTGATCTGGCATCTCGCCTGCAGTCGCTCTCTCACAGGCGTGCCGTTGCCTCCCTCTGACATTTTTACACATTCTTTCACGGTAACTGCTCCGATGAGCTGCTTTCGCTGTTTCCCAAACTTCATGAATTTAAGCGTGCTACTAGGCTGGCATCTCGCTCACACCCTTTCACTGTTAAATGTAACCGTCTCTTCTACTCCAATAGCTTCATGTCTCGCACTTCTCGCCTGTGGAACTCCCTCCCCATTTCCCTTTTTCCTTGACAGCTATAACCTCCAACTATTCAAATGTAATGCCAATTGACGTCTCCAGGTGCCTTGATCTATCCCCTATCCTTCTCTTCATCCTCTCTATCACTCCTCTTTGCTCTCGCTCCAACTCTCTGTAACCCCTTGCGTGATAGTGGCTTCCCGCCTTGCTTGGGGTGAAACGCTTAAAAAAATTACCTATCCTCGGTCCAAGTTAATGTTTTCGACTTAAATATAAACGACCAATATCTATCCTCGAACCAAGTAAAAGTTTATAGAATCAAATATAAGCGGCCATTATTAACTCTTGTCGAAGCTATCCCCGAACCAAATAACGTGCTTACAGACTAAAATATAATCAACCAAGCCACTTTGCAAGCAAATGCTTATCGGATCATATATAAACGACCCATATTTTATTATCCATTGACCAAATAAATTTTTATAGCCTCAAGTATAATTTAAAAAGAAAATAGATTTATTTCATTATTAAATAACCCAACCGAGATTAACATCAACAAACCCCAATTACGGTGGAGTAGTGAATAGCGGTTCGGATTGGAGAATCAGAGAGCCGAGTTCGAATTGCAATCGAATCCATTACATTCACTAATGTACTTTAGAAAGGTATGAATCTTTCACCCCCCAGCTATGGGTAAATTGTAGGACAGACCGGGTTGAATAGCAACTGATCTGCCGCAACCTACTGCGGGAAAAAATCTGTCTCGTCAGTCATGTATCGCATGTAACTGACTGACTGGAGCGGATAAGAAGTCAAGGGAGACAACTCTACTCACACTCGTATTTGGCTAATATTGATTAAATTTGGAGAGCATGTATTAAAAAAATTAAATGTTAAATTGTTGAACGTCTTTCTAAAAATGAAATCCAGCATATTTTTTACGAAACATAGAATATTAAAGTTCTTATACGTAGGAGACATCAGGCAGGTTTTTTTTTTTAATTTTTTTAATGGCTTAAAATTAAAAAGCTTTCGTGCCAAGCAAGAACATATAAGTAAATTTCATTTCAATTTCGCGAGATCAGTCTAGACAAAATTGTTGGATATTTCAGACCTAAATGTGGATTTCTTATTGCTGCTATAAACCAAGAAAAAAATTTCCACTTTCTTGTAAAATTTTATTTATATAAATAAATATATTTTGTAGTTTATGCGTTTTTTTTTTAATTCAATATCATTCGAAATTTATGGTTGAAATCAGTGAAATTATAGACGCTTGCTCTTAGAATTATGAGATTTTTATATTTTGGATTAGGAGTATTTTTAGACTGTATAATGCGCGTCTCGTTTTTATCCAATAAACATGCATCTTTTAGGTGCGAAAATTGAGTAAAAGAGAAAAAAAAACGCATTTTCAATTTACCTATATTACGAACTCTTAGGAGAAGAAAGCGGGGAAAGAAAGAGTGAAACAAAAAAAGGAAAGAAAGTGTGACTGAAAAAAAAAGAAAAACGCGAAGAAAGAAAGAGTAACTGAAATAAGAAAGAAAGAAAGAAAGAAAGAAAGAAAGAAAGAAAGAAAGAAAGAAAGAAAGAATGAAAAAGAAGGAAATAAATAAAGAAAAGAAGTAGAAAAATAAGAAGTTTATTTCGAGTTTTCGCACCTGAAAATATATTTTTATTATTTTTCGTTCCATTATTAGATTTTAAAAAATCCAGAATGTTAAACTGCTGTTTAGTTCCCCATTTCAAAATAGTAATAAATAAACTCCTTTTTCTATAACCGGTGATTGGAAACAATGATTTCGCCTCTGTTTCGTATTTATCTCACAAAACCCGCCAAATTTTACCCTATACTATTTCAATGGCACCGATATTGAGAGAACTTAAAACGATTCATTATTTTAGAGCACCGTTTTAGTTACAATTATTGTCACGTAACGCAAACAATAGTTAGTACATTATTTAAACATAGCCTTTTATAGCCATCTGTCGCTTCCATGACTGACAGTGTGTTTTCATTTACATAAGTAGCAAAGTAATCGTTCTAAGTAACGCGGTTAATGAAAATAAGTGCTGCGTAATTCTTTGTGTCTTTTAATAAAAAAAAATGTCGCAGGTAAAAATTCTGGCGACCTCCTCGGAATCACACGCGTGGTAAATTAATATTATTCTTGTGTATGCTTTCTTTCAAGCCGAAGGAGATTATAGCTCTCCACATCTTCTTTTTTCTACACAAATTAATTTGTATACCTTTACCATCCCTATTTGTACTTGATTTGTCGTCCATTCGTGTAAACTCATTAAGTCGCTTGCTCTGTTTTTCCCTATGAGTGTTAAATTCTCGAAGCCTTCTTTCCTTATTATGTACCCCACTTTCAACTGTTTCTTTCTGATTTTAAGTGTAAGATTCCTTGTAGTTCCTACTTTTCTTAAAACTTCTTCGTTTCTCACATGGGCTTACGGCCGCATCATGTTAAAACAACGGTTCCCATACGATCACTGAAGTTAAGCAATGTCGAGCCTGGTCAGTAACTAGATGGGTAAAGACTTGGGAACAACCTTGGATGTGCAGGTAGTGTAATGGATAATTGTTAATCTGAGAACGGTGTTCCAATTCCAGTTGGGTTCGTTATATTCACTTACGCGCAAATACTCTTGGGAAATGTATCAATCCGCCTCTTCTCCCCCATCTATGGGTTAATTAATAAAACTTGTATCTTTGAATCATTTTTATCTCAAAAAATTTCTTAAAGTCTAAAAAATCTTTTCTGGCTTTAAATAACATGCAAAGGGTCGATAAGCAGTAGAAAACAAATCAGTCAAGTTTCTCATACACCCTTGTGCAAATTAATTGAAACAACGAATAATTCCGTTATTATTTACTTTTTCCGTATTTTTCCAATGAAACATGACTCAGTGCAGATGTTAGTACTTCGTATGTCCATTCCATGAAGTCGTTCCTTGCAGTTTGATCACAGATTCTCGATTGAATTTAAATTAGGAGAGTTTCCGGGTCAGTCTATACTTTGATTTGCTCACTGGTAAGGCTTACCAGTGTGTTTGTATAGCGTTACAATTTTCGTACGATTCCTTTCGAAGACAATGGCCGTAGGATAACTAATCGACAGTCAAGACAATAGTGTCTGGGTGTGAGGAAAATTTGATGCAATCATGGATGACGCAATATTTTTCAAAGCCAAACAAATTTCATCATATACCCCGAAAATAGATTCATATTACTTCACACCACTGCAAATGACCTAATCTGAGAAAAAAAAGAAAAGAAAAAAGAAATCGATTACACCCTGTCACTCCAGAGGGTCTAAAACTGGTCGTATGGTGAAAGAAGCGGTTGTTTCAATTAATTTGCACAGGGGTGTATGTAGTGTTCTTTGTATTGGACCGTTTTCTTGAAATAACTACGAAACGAATTCACTTGAAGCCATTTTTAATTCTTCTTCCAGAAAGTTCTCTCGGTTTTCTGTCTGAGTTTGTCATTAGCGATTAGCAATGATCATTTCTGATATCAACATTTTGATATTATTAAATTAACGCACGCATCTCTCTTGTCATGTTTTTTTTAAAGTCCTATTAAAGGCAGCCTTAAAAATCAAATCAGTTTGATTTTCGGCTTTGAAATAAAATTGTTACATTGTGAAGCTGAAAACGACTCAGCGAAACAGACTCAAAATACAATCTCGTATTTAATTGACGCTTTCAAAAATACAAAATCGATTTGGCTTTTTTAATTCAAGGAAATCTCATTGCCAATGGCGAGGCTTTCTTGTTGGTGAAATGTCAAGGATTAATTAGACAAGAGGTAAAGTCAGATAGATAAAGAGAGCGAGAAAAAAATGAGCGGGAAGGAAAGAGTGAAAGAAGAGAGAGTGAAAAAAGAAGGATAAGAGTAGCAAGAGGGAGGAATAGAAAGAAAGAATGAGAAAGATAAATGGGGATAGAGAAAGTAGAAGTAGTTAGAGAGAAGTAGAATGAGAGAAAGGGGAAAGGGGAGAGAGAGAGAAAGAAGGTTAAGGATAGAGAGAGAGAGGGAGAGAGGGGGAATAGAAAAAGAGAATGGGAAAGGGAGCGGGAGATAGGGAAATAGATATAGTTGGAGAGACAGAGTAGAAGGAAAAGAAGGAAGAAGGTGTGTGTGTGAGAGAGAGAGAGAGAGAGTGAGAGTGAGAGAGAGAGAGAGAGAAATATGTTAAACATGGTCCGAATTGATCACAAGCAGAATTTTGACTTTTATTAACCTTTTTATCTGTCTCTCTTCCTCCTTTTAACTTCTCTCTCTCTTTTCATTTTTTTTTCATTGTCTCTGCCTCTCTCTATTTTTCCATCTCTTTTCCTGTTCCTCCCTCTTCTCTTTACTTTCCTTTCTCATTTTTTCTCTTTCTCTCTCTCCCTTCTTTCTTCTTATCTACCCTTTCGCTTCTACCCTCCTAGTCTCTAGCCCCCTCTTCGTCTATCTTGTTCTCTCTCATTTCTCTCTCTCTCCCCCGTTATCCCTCTCTTTCTAAACTTTCTTTCTCCCCCTCTCTGCTTCTCCCTCAATCTCCTTGTCCAATCCTCTCGTCTAGTTTCTCATTCTTTTTACTCTTTCTACCTTAACCCTCCACTCTTAATCTCTTTCCCCTCTCTCTCATCTCTTTCTCTTCATCTCTCCCTTCGTCCTCCTTTTTCTCTCCCTAACCCCTTTTTTCTTCTCTGTCTATCCTTCACTCTCTTTTCACTTCTCTCTTCATTTCTCATTCTCTCTTCTTCTCCTTCCTCTTTCTCTTTGCATCTCTCTTCTGACTTCTGATCTAGCGTGATCAACAATTTGAACAAGGCGAGAACGCTCAAACCCTCGGTCACGATGACTTGTGACTTTGTGCTAGCACAACCACCGACAGCTCCCAAGGGTTCCGTCTACCCAATTTCACTCACAATACCTGGGTCATTCCCCTGGTTTTAGGTTTTTAGGTTCTTTTCAAAGGCAGCGTCTCCTCAAGACCGACAACATTAAGAATTCAGCTTCTTGACAAATTGACCATGGTGAGATTCGAACCTGGGCCTCATGGTCAGAAAGCGAACGTTCTAATCACTCGGCTACGTGCTCATTGAAGAGCATGGAGGCACCGCTTAATTGCTGTTGTTCCCATCCTGACACGAGGTAGTAGCACCTGTTAAGGTTCCAGCATTGGGCAAATAGTGAACCTCCGAAACAAAAACAAAAACTATGAAAGTATAAAAGTACATTATTGTGGCAAAAGTACCAACAAAACATTTTTATAGCAAAATGACCATGAATACATTTTATAGCAAAATAACATTTGATGAGTCTGATGGATCTGATGAGAATGGTGGATCAGTTGGCCAGATGGGTTTGATGGGTTTGGAAGGTCTGATGAGTCTGGTGGGTGTGATGGGTCTGATAAGTCTGGTGGGATGAGTGAGGTGGGCCTAATGGGTTTGATGAGTCTGATGAGTGATGGGCCTGGTGGGTGTGATGAGTCTGGTGGGACTGATGAGTGAAGTGGGCCTAATGGGTCTGATGAGTCTGATGAGTGATGGGCCTGGTGGGTGTGAAGAGCCTGGTGGGACTGACGACTGAGGTGGGCCTAATGGGTCTGATGAGTCAGATGAGTGATGGGCTAGGTGGGTCTGATGAGTCTGATGAGTAAGGTGAGCATAATGGGTCTGATGAGTCTGATGAGTGATGGGCCTCGTGGGTCTGATGATTCTGGTGGGACTGATGAGTGAGGTGGGCCTAATGGGTCTGATGAGTCTGATGAGTGATGCGCTTGGTGGGTCTGATGAGTCTGATGAGTAAGGTGAGCCTAATGGGTCTGACGAGTCTGATGAGTGATGCGCTTGGTGGGTCTGATGAGTCTGGTGGGACTGATGAGTGAGGTGGGCCTAATGGGTCTGATGAGTCTGATGAGTGATGGGCTAGGTGGGTCTGATGAGTCTGATGAGTAAGGTGAGCCTAATGGGTCTGATGAGTCTGATGAGTGATGCGCCTGGTGGGACAGATGAGTCTGGTGGGACTGATGAGTGAGGTGAGCCTAATGGGTCTGATGAGTCTGATGAGTGATGCGCTTGGTGGGTCTGATTAGTCTGATGAGTAAGGTGAGCCTAATGGGTCTGACGAGTCTGATGAGTGATGCGCCTGGTGGGACAGATGAGTCTGGTGGAACTGATGAGTGAGGTGGGTCCAATGGGTCTGATGAGTCTGATGAGTGATGTACCTGCTGGGTCTGATGAGTCTGGTGGGACTGATGAGTGAGGTGGGTCCAATGGGTCTGATGAGTCTGATGAGTGATGGGCCTGGTGGGTGTGATGAGTCTGGTGGGACTGGTAAGTGAGGTGAGCCTAATGGGTCTGATGAGTTTGATGAGTGATGGTCCTGGTGGGTCTGATGAGTCTGGTGGGACTGATGAGTGAGGTGGGCCTAATGGGTCTGATGAGTCTGATGAGTGATGGGCTTGGTGGGTCTGATGAGTCTGATGAGTAAGGTGAGCCTAATGGGTCTGATGAGTCTGATGAGTGATGCGCCTGGTGGGACTGATGAGTCTGACGAATGATTGGCCTGGTGGGTCTGATGAGTCTGATGGGACTGATGAGTGAGGTGGGACTAATGGGTCTAATGAGTCTGATGAGTGATGGGCCTAATGGGTCTGATGAGTCTGATGAGTGATGGGCCTGGTGGGTCTGATGAGTCTGGTGGGGCTGATGAGTGAGGTGGGCCTAATGGGTCTGATGAGTCTGATGAGTGATGGGCTTGGTGGGTCTGATGAGTCTGATGAGTAAGGTGAGCCTAATGGGTCTGATGAGTCTGATGAGTGATGCGCCTGGTGGGACTGATGAGTCTGACGAATGATTGGCCTGGTGGGTCTGATGAGTCTGGTGGGACTGATGAGTGAGGTGGGACTAATGGGTCTGATGAGTCTGATGAGTGATGGGCCTAATGGGTCTGATGAGTCTGATGAGTGATTGGCCTGGTGGGTCTGATGTGTCTGGTGGGACTGATGAGTGAGGTGGGCCTAATGGGTCTGATAAATCTGATGAGTGATGGGCCTGGTGGTTCTGATGAGTCTGGTGGGACTGATGAGTGAGGTGGGCCTAATGGGTCTGATGAGTGATGGGCCTGGTGGGTCTGATGAGTCTGGTGGGACTGATGAGTGAGGTGGGCCTAATGGGTCTGATGAGTCTGATGAGTGATGGGCCTGGTGGGTGTGATGAGTCTGGTGGGTCTGATGTCTCTGGTGATCTTATGGTTCTGATGAGTCTGGTGCGTCTGATGGGTCTGTTAGTCTGCTGGGTCTGATGGGTCAAGTCTTGGACACCTTTTGTTGTTGATTGCTATGGACAGGTACAAAGTGATGGTGAATGCATTTTTGTCTTTGGTATGAAAATCGTTTGTCATGAGTGGAGCATTGATGTTTTGCAACAGAATGACTCTTTTATACAAACATCCTGGTTTTGTTCAAGAAACAACTTCCTTTAGTCAGTTCAATATTTCACGATATCCGAATGCGTTGTCTGTTGACAATGCGGGATAAAATTCACCAGTAGCATTCCAGAACATTTTTATCATCATTTTCCGATTTTTGTATATTTTGGAAGGTCAGTGGCAATGGCTGCTTCTCTAGGTCATTAAATCGTCTTATGTCTCGGCGATAATGTGATTCATCTACGTCTCATCATCTGGGATCATGAGTTCAAAAAAGTCATAATCATCTTAAAGTCAACAGGAAGCATTGTCTTGTCAGGTTGGCGTGTGGAGGGTGGTGTCTTTCAGCAGGGTGATATCTTTACCCAAACACCATTGTCTCGTTAAAAAAAAAACAACTTTCTTTAGTCAGTCCAATCTTTCATAGTATCTGACTGAATTGACTGACAATAGGATTTGAAGTCTACGACTAGCACGCAAACGGCACCCCGGGGCACAGTTGCTATCAGGTCGGTGAAGATGGATGCTTCCAGGTCATGGAATTGAACTTTTCTCCGGATTAACGAGACACACGAAGGTATCACCCCTCGTGACCCAGGCGTTACAAAAAAAGTTATACCTCATCACCGATATAAAGGCACAAGAGCCATTTTTTTGTCTTGTTGTCTGTGTGAGGTTCTATCTTGTAGAAGCGTGTCACCCTTAAACAAATGTCTTGGTTCCTTTCGAAAATTTCCTTCAGTCTGTTGAGTGTTTCCAATGCCTGACTCTCTGACAAGTTGGCATGACTGGTTTTTGATTCATTTGAGGATTTGTTTTCACGGTTTATCAACCTTTTGCAGGTTATTTAAAGAAAGAAAAGTTAGAATTTGGTGGGGATGATAATGATTTACTGATACAATTCTTGCTGGTATTCCCATCGGCAGAATCAAGAAGAGGTGGATTTATGCCTTTCTCAAGAGAATTTGCGCGTAAGTGAATATAACGCACCTAACTGGAATTGGAACTCGGTTTCAATTTTCAATTTAGGGACATTTTCCATCCCACCACCCGCACATCTAAGCTTTTTATTTAATGTAAAAAAATGTGAAAAAGTTCTGCATATCCGAGCGCTTTATTCTTTTAGCCATTATCAAGAGCGATTTTTTATTTTTAACTAAATATGTGTGTTTTTATGTATATGTCTAAAGTTATAGGAATTTTTTATTTTCTGTTGTAAGAATATTTTATTATATATATATATATATATATATATATTGATAGATAGATAATAATATCAAATCCGTAAGTGCAAAAAAATAATCTAAGTATGTCTTTTTAATATAAAATATTAAAAAGATAGATCCATGAAGAGAGCTCAGTGTATTGTATACTTTGATAGATATCAAAAGAAAAAAAAACAAACTTGTTTTGCAATCTCAGTCTAATGAGTTAGGTATTAAAAACTTACCTGTCGAAGTAACTATTATCGGAACTTTCGAAAACTTTGATATATATGATGGAAATTATTAAGAGGATTTGAGATAATTATAATTATTTCATCGAGTCTAGAAGGAACCAGGATGCACTGGACGGCCGTTTCGTCCTATATTTGGGACTACATCAGCAGTGCGCATCCACTACCGAGAATTAAAACCCGGACAGTTACATTGACGGGCAAACGTCATACCAACTTTTCCAAAGGCCTCGGTGACGAGCAGTCAGCGAATTAGACTCGATATAGCGTCGATCGATCACATATTACGTGGTTGAACTCATCCGAGTTCACCTTACC